CACCAGCCAACTTTCCAAACCAGCAGTCGTCCCCCAGCCTGTTGACGGCACCAGCCAACTTTCCAAACCAGCAGTCGTCCCCCAGCCTGTTGACGGCACCAGCCAACTTTCCCAACCAACAGCTGTCCCCCAGCCTGTTGACGGCACCAGCCAACTTTCCCAACCAACAGCTGTCCCCCAACCTGTTGACAGCACCCACCGGTTTTCGCAACCAACAGCTGTCCCCCAACCTGTTGACAGCACCCGCCGGTTTTCGCAACCAACAGTTATTCCCCAATCTGCTGACAGCACACGTAGACTTTCACAACCAGCAGTTATCCCCCAATCTGCTCTCATCAATCAGAATCTCCAATTGCTAACTATGTCTTACCCGAATGTTTCTGCCAGTCAAGTTACACAGTCTGTAATTGTCCCTCATTCTACTACTACAAATCAACTACCACAACTCAATTTTAATAAACAAGCTGCTCTTACCACAAGCTATGTTAATAATCATATAACTCAACCTTTAGTTGCTCTTCAATCTGTTACCAATCACTGTAAAAGTAATCTAGTTGTACCCACAGCTGTTACTACAGTTGATAATTTCCAAAGTCAGCAGGTAAAACCACCAGTTGTTTCTCAACCTATATCATCGAACAATCAACATGGAAGCTATCTGAGACAACCAACAGTTTTACAGGCTACTTCTACTAGTGGACCTGGAAGTCGGCCATCTCAGCTACAAGCTGTTACTCAACCTGGTACTTTCTCAGTTGAATCTCTAGAACAGCTTGCGGAACAAGTTTCTGCTAAACTATCAACTATTACTCAGACAAAAGTAGTTCCTGAGTATACTAGTGTCACAAGTAAAGTGACACACCAAGAGTCTCTAACTTTATCAACTGTAGATCCTTGTCACTTTACAGATAAACAAATGACTTTTCATAAGTCTGATATTAAAATTAATCAAATAGATTATTCAGCTACTCAAGCATCTGATCACTTGTCTTTGACCTCTGGTAACTTAACACAGTCAGCTGTTACATCAGTTAAACCTACTAAACATCAACAAATAACTTTACCCAGTTTACTACCTACTTCCTCAAGCATTTCACAGATTACTAAACCTAATAAAGTACCTGTAGCAGAATCTTTTTGTGTTGGTCAGGCAATCCACAACTGTTTTGTCTCGGGTGTTGTAACTCTTACTCAATCAGTTGGAGTTCCAGTGATGGCACCTTCTTTCTCAACTGTGTACCAAACAGCTCCTGATTCACATGATTATATATCTAGTTCAGATTCTCTGCTAGAAATTGAAAAATCGGGACACTCCACAATTGAGAAAAGTGCTGTTTCACACATAGCAGTATGTAAAGAGAAAATGCAATCCTTAATTTCTCATCAATCTGTGTCATCTGTAGACTCCACATGTGCAACTACAATATTGTCACAGGCTCCTTCGTATACTGTTGAAACAGCGAGTGCATTATCAGTAGGGACAGTATCTGTCAGTTCTAAACTTCCATTAATGTCTTCCAATGCAGATATTTCAATGTCTCGTAAACAAAGTGTTGCAACAAACTTGGAGGACCTTAAGCTGGAGTTACAGAAACTGCACAGTGTAACCAATGCTTCTGCTGGTTTAACAGCGAATATTGAACAAGGTTTACAAGCTATTTTTGCACAGACTGTTCCAGCACAAACCATTACCACTCCAGCTCATCCTCAGCCCCAGGTGTTACCTGGACCCCAGCAGACTTCTATTCCTGTTACATTAATATCCCAATCGCAGCCTCGCCTTCCTTTATCTGCCTTTCATGGTCATCACTTTACACCAATCCAATCCCAAGTTCAATCTCCTACTGAAATTGTTTCTTCAGCTGGTACCGGTGTGTCTCATGTTGGTGAAATTCCACATCGGCATTTCTTTTCTCAACCTGCTACTCCCTTTGTAAGCAGTGTAGCATTACCATCTGTGCAACTTAGTGCACTTTCTACAACTGCCTCAAGTACTCGTACTGTTTCTAGCCAGATCCCGTTACATTCTGTTTGTTCAAATGTGCTAAAAACAGATTCTGTATCCATATTGCTTCCAAAATCAGAGCCACTAGTGACAAATATAATTCCTGAACAGTCTAGAATTTCTACTACCACTACTCTGTATCCTAATGTTTCCACTGCTACAGAATCTAGAAATACAGATGTTGGTGTTTTGGCTTTTTCTGGCTCATCATCTGTGTCTAATACCAATGAATTTTCATCGCTAGTGCAACTTACCAGCCTGCCTTTGAATCTTTTACCAGGTAATGTAGCATTATTATAATTTTAAGTATCCACTAACTCTCAGCCAGTTTGCAAATCAAATTAGTTATTAAAAAATGATTTGGTCAGTTTTAACTATTCTTTATACCAACTGATTAAAAGTATGTAGTAAATGATCAAGTAAAGAAAAATTGTTGTTTTTATCTGAAGTGACGGTTTAATATTGAAGGTAAAAAGTTTTCTTAGGTTCAGTTTTTTTTATGGAAGGGATTACATTTTAAAAGTAAGTCCAATTATTCATATTTTGTGTAAATATTTTAACATGTGGTCTTTGTTATTGTAGAGAATTCAGTTTCACAACAAACTGATGGTCAACAACTCATAAAGACAACAAAACAGCAGACCACCCAACTTTCACGATTCCTGGTGACTCCAGTGATAGAAAATCTTCCTGATAAAGCTGGTAGTGTTTGTGATGATAACCAGTTTTCTACAATAGAAATGAAAACATTTTCAAATGGTGAAGAATTGACAATTAATACTACAGAGAGAAGTAAAATACAAGTCCTGGAGTCTAAACTCCAAGGTGATAGCTGTACTATCAGTGTCTCTGAACCAGTAACTCATTATGGTCGTTTCAAAGTAAAGCCAGTAGCGTGTGATGAATACTTGTCTCTTCCTTCCAATATATCAACTCAGAGTATTGATGAGAGACCCATTGTTGAAGGGATAAGTTTTAAACCCCTGTCAGTAGGAGTACCCATTCAAGATGGAAGTAGCCAGACTAGTTCAGAGGCGAGTTTTATCTCTATGGCTATTTTATTCAATATCAGAACGAATATTCTTTTTCTTTTCTTTAAATCTGAATTAAAATCTCATCAACAGGTTTTGAATCTATAGTTTGAAAGGTTCTATAATCAACATAACTGAGATTTGATATTGGTATGTAGGTCTAAAAGTATCCCAAATGGTAATTTTAAAGTAGTTCAAATGTTTTTTTTTAACACTACAATGATACAAGTGTATTTGTATGTTTAATGCTAGTATATCTAATTTAATGGAAACAATACTCTGGATAAAGTTTTCAGCCTCAGGTAAGCAAACTGCTTAATTGAAAGTAACAGTTAGTCAGACTTTTTTTACAATGAATCAGGTTTATTATATACCAGCAGTAGTAAAGTTTTAATAATCATCTTTGAACTGTCTTATGTGACAAAACATTAATTGATGTCCATATCTTTAACTCCATTAATACTTATTGGATGTTTATTGATACTTGTTGTTGGTTTCAATTAACAAAATATTACTGTGTGGTACCATAAGCAAAAGTTCTTTGCTAAGGTACATTATGATCCATTAGCAATGTTATCTATTACTATATAACTTGATTTAAAAGTTTACAGTAATTAAATGCATGATTGTATGTTTGTTTTTCGTATAAACTTTATTATCAGTTTGATTTGAGATATGCATGAAATTTCTTTTTTTTGTTGATTTTTGATTTTCCTTTCATTAACATTATCATCAGGACCTCGAGAGCAGAGGATATGAAAACCTTCCAGAAACAAAATTCCCTTCAATTCGGGCTCATTCCCCAGTCATACATCGTTCCCAGAGTGACCCAGCACATTCCAGAGATTTTCCCCATCTTGCAGTTCCCTCTAATTTAACAGAAAGAGTTTTAGAAAATTTAAATTTGAAACAAGTTGTTGTTTTAGAAGGTTCTTCAGAAACTTTGTCAGCCATTCCTTATAGATCTATTACATCAAGTACTGAACAGTTAGCTTGTGACTCTCCTGGTTCTGATAACAGTACTGCACGCCCCCTAGGTGGCTATGCCACCTTTCCTTCTACTGAACTAGTATACAACTTGAAACACTGTCCCACTGGAGATAATGTTCCTAGAACTTTAGAAATGGCTCTTGCCAAGATAATGGGAATTACCAGGAGTGATCATCCACAACTTTATAACTTGCCTTCTAACCTACAGAGTGAAGGTCATGAACCTTCACTGTTTCAAAGAAAAAATGAAATCTCTACTCGGCTAATGTCTTACCCTTTCACTCATGAGGACCACCTTTTTCAAAATGAGTTGGTACCAATCACTCCAGTTTCATTAATCTTAAGAGATGCTCAAACCCAAACTGAAAAGGTCTCTTGTAGAAATATTGGTATAAATGCTTCACAAAGGCAAAGAGTCTTAGAATCTACTAACTTGTATAGAACTAAAACTGAAACATCCTTAAATTATCTGGAATATAGTAGAGTCCCAAATGTTACAATTTTAGAGCCTGTAAGTTCTTTTCACACCTCTTCTTATAGCCTTGATAAAAAATTAGAACACAAACTTTTGTCAGATTTATCCAAGTCATCAAGAAACCACATGTCATCTCAAGTTTGCAAAACAAACTTGAACCTTGGATGCTGTATGCCATTTGGACAGATTTTGGTAAGCCAGCAAGGTTTTAAAAAAAGAGAAAAAAAAATCTCCAGATTCTACTCTTCTGTCTTGGCAAATTCTTGAAAATCTGCAACCTTCATTTGCAAATGTGTATGCTTTATAACTCTTCCAAACTTTACATTTTTTTGTGCTTATAAGATTATTTAAGCATTTCTTTCTTAACAGCAATGTTTTGCATTTGGTTACCACTTTCTAACAAGTTTACCTTTCAAGTCTATAAGATCTGTTTTCAATTTGTGAAGTTGAGTAATTGCTAAATGTTATTACTACTTTCATTCAAACATCTGTGTAAAGTTGCTATTGCTGTATGAGTACAATGCTCACAGCCTTTAAATGTATACTTGTTATTTTCCTGGTGCACATATATTGGTGCTTTGGGTATTTTGCTCTGCCAATCCTGTAGATACGACAGAATCTGCAGCTTTAATCTAAATCAGTTTTCAGTATCAATTGATTCTTACATTCTTGCTATCTAATTCTGTCATTGCTGTATTCCCAAGTTTACTGCTGTTACCAGTCAGTGTTTAAAGTACATTAATAGATCATTAGTTATCCACTAATTCTGTTTATAACAAGTCAACAATTTCAGTTTTTAACTATTCTTACATTCGTATACACATCAATCAATACTTGCAGCTTTCTCCCTTATCATGCCTTTAATACATACTGACCAATATTTGTAACTTTATTTATTTGCTGCTCCTTTCTTCAATATTTACAGCTTTTCAGTTAATTTTACCTTAAACATGAATTGGTACTTTGTTTCTTAGCTTCAAATGGGTTCACTATTTTTCAATTGATATGTTTTTAGCTGCTTTTGTATTCAGTATATACCATTCAGTACTTGCAGTCTTAACTGATTGTCTTCAATTATTCATTCATACTTTCAGTTGTTTTTTGGATTGATGTTGTCTTTAGCATATATCAATGAATTCTTTCTGGTTTTTTTTGTCATTCTGTTTTCAATATAAAATCACTTCTTTCGGTTGATCTTCAGTCTTTGCACTATTTACTAACCACTTTAACTTGGGATCATTACCTGCCACTTTTTAATATTAATCTGTTTGTCTATTTGAACTTTTTTCTATTTATATCACCTGTTTTAGCTCATTCTTTTATATGCTTAAATCGGGTATTATTCCTTTTCAGTGGATTCTTCTATTTTCATTAAGTGCTTGTGATTTTTTAGCTATCCTTTTTTTTTCAATCATATGCTAATTAGCATTGAAAATTGTTACCAGTATTCTTCTATTTTCATTAAGTGCTTGTGATTTTTTAGCTATCCTTTTTTTTCAATCATATGCTAATTAGCATTGAAA